GTGTGAAAACATGTGCGAACCGAAGCAACGCGACACTTGGTGTCAAAGAATTCACTGAGGCGCCGCGCGCCTCACTGTTTTTCTCATTCCCGAAAATGACAGTTAAGGGTGATCTTTTTTTTTTATATAAAAACGCAACTTTACTCCTCTCTCGTTATTTCAAGAGTTCGCGTTTTACATTCATTTATATTCAACAATTTAGTAAACTTTTATTAATATTCGTGTTGTGTCTTGGTATTTTTGGCAGATGTTCAACGTATGAAACATCCTTCGTCTGTGTCGACGGGAAGAAAGGTCCATATTGTTTCGACGTTTTCAGGTCGAGGGATCAATATATTTCTCTCTCTCTCTCTCTCTCTCTCTCTCTCTCTCTCTCTCTCTCTCTCTCTCTGTCTCTCTTTTCGAGAAACGAAATGCTCGAGCGCGCGAACGGGATCGGGGTGTCGAACGTGTTTGACAGGGCGGGGTGAAGAGTGTCGGGGCCACATTCCGCCCTCTCGGGATCCTCTCTCGTATCCGCGGTAACTCCGCCACGAATCCATGGTGGCCGCCGGCGGACAAGCACACAGCCGTCAAACGATACGACATCTTAAGCCTCCGAGAACTCCGCAGGGGATCTCGTGGGAACGTGCGCGCTAGACACGAGGAAAGTGTATCCACGAACGACACTCTGGAAAATCATTGCGCCATGTCCCGCCCGCTGTTCATTTAGTATTATTACTCGCGTAAAACTATTCGTAATTTCTACTCCCACTCGAATTCGATTTTATATTCGAGTATTCAGTAAATCAATTGAATTCGATTATGTTATAGCTTCGAGAAACTTTAAAACTATTAAGCAATTTATCAAATTCAGCTATGCGTTGAAATTATCGTGAAATTGTCGAGTAAGAAAGAATAGTATCGTAAGATGCACTAATTATTTTTTTTAACAATATCAAAATTTTTAATGTTGGCTGGTCAGTTATATTACTTCAATTGAAAAATTAATACGATTAAATAGCCAACGTTAAAAATTTCGTTGTTGTTAAAAAAATAATTAGGGTGTCTCAAGTTACAATATGTCCCTAGGTACCCCACAGTCTCCCCTATCTATTCAAATTCAATGATTTATGCAAATTTATGTATATCAAATATCGTATATTTTAATATAGGAGTATTCACACAGTTAATTATTATGATAAAAAGGTGTAATTTCGAAGAGATGAGGTATGATAGGAATTTGATAGTCATCAAGGATATAAATCCTTATGTATATGCATTTGTTGGCGACATATTGAAGCGTGAGAAATGACGGTCTATAAATTTTACTTGGTGAGTAGGTCGCTCGAGTAGTGTTAGTCAGATCACGATGTAGATTATGTGATTAACTCTAATCTTGAAATAATATACAAGCAGCAGTGTGTAAGAGATTCTGTCGGTATACATTATCTTTATCGAAACGAGGAAGGCGAACGTATCCGTTGGTTAACAGTTAAATACTTTCGTAGTAAACAAATGAAGATCCTCAAAACCCTCGGAAGGATTCTCGCATGTTTTATTTAACTTCGAAAATCCAAAAAAGCAAAAGATAAAAGATGATATAAACAAACATTTTAATTTACATAATTTATGTCGTCACGTTGGGAGTATTTATTTTTCGGAAATTAATACTTGAGTGGATTAACCGTAATCTTCAAATTGTTTAGGAATCATTTGTTTATCTATCAAGAAAGCATCTGCGGCAGCAATTTGACATATTTGCCTTTTCTTCGAGTAGCAAACAAATTGTTTTATCGAACAAATTGTTTTAAATATATTCGAAATCATTCCGATAAGATCCATTCATAGGAAAATGCTTTTAAATACATACTTTGTGGATCATCTAAGTAACCGTTCTGTCTGCAGTTTCAAGATTAAGGACTGAAACCTACGCTAAGCATTTCTCGATCGGTTGCTGAATAAATTCAATTTTGTTGAGCTGTGCATAACTTTGGAAATAAATTTCAAAAGACACTAGCATTTCCGCGATGCACAGCACAACATAGCACAGCTATACTTTGCCTCGTTCGAAATCGTAGCGCATTTTGCGACTTATATAATCCTGTTGTCGACACGGCTCATTCACTCTCGCATTTCGTCGGCCGGCGAATTAATCATGAATTCCGGCGGACACTCAGTAGCAACGTTCGCAAGTCACGTTCGCGTATTTATACGGTGCTCGCAAGAAAACATGTTTGGTAAAGGTGGGATTGAGATCGGCATAATTTTCAACTAAGCTTGATTTTTAAACATAAATCGCTTATGTGTGAAATGCCAAAAAAAAAGAAAAAAACATTATATACAGAAAGAATGTTGGAGCTCGTTTTAATAAGTTGTATGATTATGCGCATTATAGATTTAAATCAATTTCAAAATATACTTTACACGCGCCTTACTTTATAATCGTTATGATTAAATACACAGATCATTTCTGCATACCACCATCTACACTAATCTATAATACAACATCGAGATACGAACCTATCCGAGGGGGTAACCACTTAATGTAATCGTGGGACAGAATCCTCGAAATCATTATAAAATTTATATAAAATCTCTATGTACTATAATCCGATAATTATATATACAACCACGAGAAATCATTGTATAATATTAAATAAAATCGTATATTTTACCAAATTACTTCATAATAGTGAAAAAAATTATTTGTAATCAGATGAAATTATGTAATCTGTGGGACAATATTTCAGCTAGTGGTTACCCCTTTAAACCTATCTAAATTACGACGGTTTCAATTTCCGCTACCAAAGCGATAAATAATAATAATGATTGTATAAACATACACGAAGCAGCTGTAGCGAACGCGTGACGAATATCCGCACGCATGATCGCGACAATGTCCGCGAGATTGATTTATACGACGCAAAATCGCGATATTCGTCAATATCAATTTTCCGCGGTGGCATAGCGATTTTCATCACGTTCCCCCATCGTAGATACCTTCCTACGAATTTATAGTCGAGCTATAAATACATAGTGCTCCCGAGAGGAATCTGCCGGTCTTTGGAAACACGGTATTTGCACTCGATTTTTAATATAGGAAAAGTTATGTCAATATAATTGCTTGAATTCAGGATAGAAATCATTAAGTAGTTATTTATCATTTAGTTATTATTATATAATAAAGCTTTTTTTCTAATGAATTGGTATTAACATTTTGACTGCGATATCTGAACATGTGAATTTTTATAATTTTTATAACATAAATAAAATATAATATACATTTTATTTATTTTTTGTATAATTTATTTTTTTATGTAATTGTATATATAAACAGTTGAGCAAAATTGTTTCTCGACTTCAGACTTCCCAGAGCTCGTACCGAAATCAACTTGGCAGTCAAAGTGTTAACAAGAAGGTATCACTGGAGAAAGCATTTGACACAACAACTGTTTGGCGCACGTTCGTCAACACTTTCAACGATTTCCTCAATTACATACGCTGCGTGTTTGTAACTCGCAAACATGCAAATTAATACTAGACAGCGCACGTCCGCTAAAATATCATACGCGCTGACAAGTATATCTTCCGTTGCCAGAAAAATTTCACGTACGTATTCGTGCGCGTGCACACCGCGTCGTAATAAACTGAACTAACCAAGTTGTCTACCAAAATATTATAACTTTGCTTGAAATGGTGCGAGTGAAAACTCGACCGAACTTTTCTCATTTCTCATATCCTTTCATCCCGTTGCTTTTATTATCAATTACAGAAACAATCATTTTTCATTTCAAACTATTTAATTATTTCAAGATGTGGAAGATCAATTCGTTATGTGTGGAAGATCACTTTGTAATAAAATTAATCAAAACCCCTACATAATATTTAAAAGATGCACGTAATTTAATAGCACAATATGTAATCGTATTAAAAATCATTGATAGATAAGAATGTTAAAGTTTCCTGAATTAAAAACTATTCTGATTTAAACGAATATTTTTCAACTATACAGGGTATAGTTCACCTTTTCGCAAGTAAAGATGATTAATTAAAAAATTTTAACTCACGCGCATACTTGAGACCTCCGCCATTGAAAAAATATCGCACAAGAGAGAGAGAAATTTCTTTTATTTCGTATACGAACACGTGTGCACCGCTCACACTTAGCGATATCGAAGTAAAGTGACACATGCGTCTTCGTGATACGTAGTAGGCTTTACGACACTAAATCAGTCCGAGTTACGCGCCGACTAATTGTGAACCACGTCCCTCCTCTTTGCTCCTGTGGAAACCAAATATAACTAAACGGAGCGAAACTAAACGACCGAGCCGATTAACTTCTCAGCCTGTCCCGCGTGGCTTTGCATGTACACACGAACACGCGGATGCATAAAGAGTACACATCGACGATGAAGTGTGGAAAGGAGAAGCGGAGAATCTGTTTTTCTCTTTTTATTGCGTCTACTTCGTCGGTAGATAAATAGTCGTTGATTGAGGGGCGATTCGCCGCAGCGGAACATAACTTTTATTTGGGTGGGCGAAGTAACACGATTATTAATTGACCCATTCATGCAACATATGTATTGCTATTATGAGGAATTACAATGTAACATTCCTAAAATATCTATGTTTGAAAATTAAATAGTTCTCTCTCTCTCAGAGAGAAAGTAAAAATAATTTTCCATCCTCATTTGGAGTGAAAGGCAATCAATTTTTTTACTAGATTATTTTACTGGATTATATTTACCAGATATTAGATTTTATGATAGTTATTATAATAAAAATAAAAATGTTTTTAATGCAATAGTATTATAATTGTTCAATCATTACTTAACTATTTGTCTTAATTAAATCTGAAATAGCAGTACATCATTCATTATGTCGCGATATCGTGCAAGAATGATTTAGCGAAACGCGGAAAGGAACCCTCCAATTAATGTGCGCGGCTGCAGCCGAGAATAAATAAGGATTACTATGCGCCTAGACGACGTTGCAAGAGGGTGTGATGTATTTTGCAGTCTGGGCGCAGGGTGACTTCGGGGACGAAACCAATGGGGGCCTCGCGAGGCTCGACGCGGGTCATGGCGCTCACACCCCCGGTGGTAGCAATCCTAGTACACCGGGAGCGACCCCCACGACACCCTCCGGTGGATATTCCACCGGACAGCCGAGGAACCGTACGAACGCAACTCACAGGCAAGATATTCGAAAAGGTACGTTTCAACTATGTACAAATAATTATACAATTTTGTGTAATTTAATTTTTCTTCAATTAATGTGTGTCAAAATTCCAAGGAGTGGAAAATCATAATTTAATTCTATTGTATCAAAGCATAACAAATTCGATATTGTTTGTATCGGTTAACATTAACAGATGTTACTATCTTATTATTTTATCGGTCATTATTAAATCGTGTTTAATAATGTTTAACATGTTTTTTTATGAACAATATAAAATATGCGATATCTCATATATCCACAAGCACACGTATTTCAAAGTTCGACATTAGATTCAGTAGGAAAGACGTATTTGCACGAATCAAAATTTAGTTCAGAGAAAGAGAAGAGAGGCCATTCGGACACCGTTCTCTATCGCGTTTACACGGAGTTCTGAAACGAATGCACGGAATGGTGGATGGCGACAAATGGGGGAGGGGGGGGGGTGGGAGAGCGGAAAAGGTCGCTTACGTTTGTTTGCACGTTTGTTCGGCACTTAGCTGGAACACTCTCACCTGCGCTCCAAATCCCCGCAAATTGAAATATCTGCCGGAGTCTTATGTTCCCGGTTAACAACAAACCTCCTCGCGGATCTCACTTCGTCCATTCTAATACCGGTAGAAGCGTCAGTTTCCGCGTGTGCTTCTCGCTAGAGTCCATCTTTCGTAACAAAATGCGGAACTCGCGTAAACATGAGCGAATTTTACTTCGTTCAATAAATCAAAGATACATATATAAAACGATATTTTTAAAGGCTGTCTGAGATCTAACGAAAACTTTATTAAATTAGGCCAATAAATATTTTGCTCGTGTAAACGTAGGCGAATTTTATCCCGTTCAATAAATCAAATATATATATATATATAAAGTATTTCTAAAAGCACACGACTGTCCGAAATGTAACGAAAACTTCATTAAATTAGACCAATGAATATTTTGCAAAGATTTACCTACTTACATCTATGTGAAAGAACGATTTCAAATTTTATCAATTTAATAAATGTGATAATACATGTAAAAATAACTGAAAGTAATTAATACAACTATATATAATATCTCATAATTTTTATATTCTGGAGATTAATTACATTTAAAAAATCCCGATACAAAAATATCACACAAAATTATAATAGTTTTAATCAATTAAATTTTTGGCATCGCGTAGGATTCACGCTCGAACTTCTAGAATTAAATTGATTTGTTTCAACTTGCTTATTTTAAAACAGTGATTTTAGAAAATGTTATATTTAACTATCATATTTTTTTTAAACATAACTTGAAACATACATTTACACACATTTACGTTATATACTTGGGTCTCTTTTTGCATATCTGATACAATATTCACATAGCTCCATTACCTTAAATTAAAATGCAATACTATTTATCACTATGCAAAATACAGCAACAGAGTTGTGACTGCATCGTATAACATACAATACCCACTTGCAAGTTAATTACGATCGCGCGACACTTTGCACGGCATTCCTGACATTAATCACGTAATGCGCATTACGCGCCGCTATGCTGCAAAGTTGCAACGGAAGGATAATACGAAAAAAATATTATGACGTAAAGCTACAATCCGTTCAACACTAGCGCTGTCTTGTAAAAGTGCAACGAATGAATTTTCAATGACAGAGGATTTTAACAAATGAACAATGCACAAACGATGACTGCTACGCACAGTTGGTTAAATTATATAAATTTATATCGAAAATATTATTTAAGCACTAAGATTCAGGTTTCGTTACTAAATTGTGTATTCACGTTTGCGGTCTTAAGACACTTTGTTCAAATTATCAAAATATGAGATTAATTACGATTCACTAATACATTGGCGTATGTTAAATTAGCACCCCAATATTGAAATTCCATAGTTCTGATTAGAGTTCCCGTTTCCTTTTGTCCAGACGAAGAGTTCTCTATAATTTATAACAAGAGTTCCGCTTAATAACTATTTTCAAATAATTTTTAAAAAATGGGGTGCTAACTTCTTATCAAAATTCGAGATCGAATAGTTCTGAGCGGCTCAATAGCTTTATTTAGTGAATATCTAGAGTTCCTGATATATAAAAAAAAATTTTGAAAAATCCCAAAAAATTAAAAATTTTTGAAAAATCAATTTTTAGATACAATAGTTCTGATTACAGTTCCTGCTTCCTTTTAACAAGACGAAGAGTTCTCTGTATTTTTTAATGCGAGATTCACTTAATAACAATTTTTTAATAATTTTTAAAAAATGGGGTGCTAACTTCTCAGCGAAATTCGAGATCGAATAGTTCTGAGCGGCTCAATAGCTTTAGTGAATACCTAGAGTTCCTGACACATAAAAAACAATTTTGACAAACAAGAAAATTAAAAAAACAAAAAAAACAATTTTTGATCACTTCTTTAATTTCGCGTATCTTGAATATCGTTGGCTCAATCGCTTTGTCACCTGATACTTTTCGATAGAACTCACCGAGAACTCCCCAAAACGATAATCAGAACTCCTGGAACTCTTAAAAAATTTTTCGACGTGGGACTTAGAAAATTTTCGACTACCTAAAAAATTTTTTGAAATAAATGTACGCTCAATATTTTAAATTTCTCGTATTTTAAGTTAAATATTAATAAATGATCGCAAAAAATTAAATCAAATCATTAATATTGATCGCAATATTAATAAATGATCGTGCAATCTATTCGCGTATTATTCCGTTAATTTCAATAAAAAAATAAGCAAATTATACATGTATTTAAATTAGTGAAAAATTCAGAACATGACACGAGATATATTCAAATATAAATGTTATTAAATAAATAATTATTGCAATGAAATAATGATTTATGATTTTTATCTTTATACTTTGATATTTGCTTTGAAAAAATAAATTACATGAGATACGCATTTTGATAAATAAGTTGCTTTATGTTAATGAGTTCTTAATCACGGAATTTAATTAAATCAAAAATTACAATTTTAATAAACTAAAGATATCGCAAAAAATGTAGTAATTTTCCTTACACGGTTCATTAAAATCACAGTTTTATTCTTCAAGAAATAAAAAATGTGATAAAATATGAAATAGTAAATTAATTTCCATTTTTTATTAAAACGAAGATAAAAAAATTTTTCTCTTCAAATTGTAATTTTAGATAGCTCTATAAAAATGATGTTGCCAGCTTAAATCTTAAATTAGCAACGCCACTGTTTTCTTGGAAATGACACATAATATAGAATTGTTTTTGGCAGTATAAAATAGTACAAATTCAATCGTATTGATTTCTAATATTATTTTTCTTCTTTTCTTTTATTTAAATTGGTCCTGCCAGCTTAATGTTAAGCTAGCACCGCCACGATTTTTTTTTTAAATAGCACACGGTATAAAATTATCATTAATGGTAAAATTTAGTACAAAATTAATGCTAAAAATTCCGATAAATCCAATTTGATTCTGCTGATTTGAATCTGTTTAATGTCTAAAATAGCTTTATAGAGCTATTTTAGATTAAATTTAATAACTTTTTTGTTAATTAATTACATAATTTTTTTATTTAAAAAAGAATTTAATTATTTATAATAATGAAAATATTATTAATAATCAACATATCAATATTGCTATTATATATATATATATATATAGTATCAATAGAAAAAATCGAAAGACAAAATCAGCTGAGTAGTAAAAATCAATAGATATCACCTGAGCTGTGAAAATCAATAATGTAGATAACAGATCGATATGTACGTTTATAAACACACATGAGTCTGAGTGCGCGAATTTTACGCGAAATAAATTACGAAAAATCACTAATGATTCATAATTTAAAAATTATTTTTATTCTGATCTTTGTTAATATTTTTACTCTAATAAATCTCCAGATTACACTATTAAAATTTATACGATATTTAGTTTTAGAATTTTGTATCATTTCTAGATGTAGGTATATCATTTAATTATCTAAAATCCAAGATTATATTGCCAATATTTTCTTTGATATTATTTTGATATTATTTTTCGCGGAAGTCTTGGAATATTTAATTCAGTCTGTTTGATAAGAACATGTCCGATGCACAATCTGAAAATTATTCATTATAATGAATTAAAAAAAATATACACATACTACTTGATAAGAATCGTGATGCTTTATTATTAATTTATCCAGTCACCTCTATTATCAATAATTGTCTGACATCTCCGAGGCATTCTCATTAATTTTATGATACATATTCTTGAGATAAAGATCTCCAGATCAATTTCGAATTTATCGAACTAGATGTTTAATCATTCAAATCTTCTTTTCACTAAATTTAAGCTTCAATGCCCAAACGTTTCTAACAGGATTTACGTTCGGTGACTGTGACTGCCAATCCAGAACGTGAACGTCATTTTCTTATTTCCACGCAGTATAAAGGTATCTTTAATGTTTCCTGTTATTATTCTCTTGTAATAATCAAAATATTAGTTTTTCTTTCTAATCAACTTTTTGACAGATATTAATAAAGCCATCTCATATATTTTTATAAATTTAGCGGCATTCAAATTATCTGTAAAGATATATTCAAAGTGCCAAATCTGTGCTTTGAGAAGTAAACGTGCATCTTTATCGTCTATTAAACGATGAATGAGTCCATGGTGTATATAAAGTGAAGCATTCCTGTGGATGCAGAGTAGGAGAATGAATTTGGGCACAATTTTGATTGGCTGTTCCAGAATGCTAGTGCTATGATATGCAGAAAAGTGCCCAAATGCACTTTCCTGCGTATCATATTTGATTGGTTGCTTCCTTTCGGATGTGCATAGAGAAACACGGTTCGAATCACGATGCATATGCGGTACTCTTGGCGAAATATGTCTTTCTGTCACTAAGATTGAACGATATAACTGAAGCCTTCTTTATAAAGCATTTTAGGAGAAAACTCCTTCTATTTGTTCCTGGAATTTTGCTATCTAACGGTTTCCAGGTAAAAGTTTCGCTGGACACGTTCTTATCAAACAAACTAATGAATCCTACATTTGAGACGCTATTGATGGTCTTGTCGAAGATATGATACCTTAACACTTTTCAGGTGTACGAACACCACCAGAAGTGAAACACGAATTGGGTGCTGCTGGTGGCGTTGTTTCTCCTGGGGTAGTTGGAGTCAACGATACCGACGATAAGGATGGGAAAAAGAACAAAAGGCAAAGGCGACAAAGGACACATTTTACGCAACATCAGCTTCAGAATCTGGAGATGACGTTTCTGAGAAACCGGTATCCAGATATGTCAACCAGAGAAGAGATAGCTTGCTGTACGAATCTTACGGAAGCTCGTGTCAGGGTAAGAGAATTTACGACATCACGATTTACATTGAAGAGTTAAATTTTATCGCACGCGTTAGAATCGTCATAAATATCTTATTATTTAAGATACGTTTGTATATAAAAAAAAGACGATTCGTGTAATGGCTAAACGGAAACTTTTCCTTAAAATTTTTAGATGTATTTAATAACTCGGTTTAATAATTTAAATTAATTAATAAATAATAAAAATAAAATGATATAATTTATAAACTGACAAAAGCTAATAGAGACACTTCAGATTTGATTTCGTTCTATACGTGTATAATCGATTCTAATTCGACTTTCAAGTGTCTACATTGTGAAACATTAACGACTCGAGCATTGTTTTCTTAAAATCATCTCGGAAAAGCGAAAAATATAACAGTAACATTGAAACGACGTCCAAAAATTTGAGCTCGTTATAAATGAAGCAGTAACAGACGCTCACAATGGGTGTATTGAAGCATCAAAGTATCGATTACAAAAGCAACAATCTGCTGACCACGGATGATATCTTATGCATCAGTGAAGTGTACGAACGGTTTCTACAAGATATGTAGAAACGACGAAAATGATGAGATATTTTACATGTTATAAAACTTTAAGTAAAGCTTCCATATAAAACGTTTTAACAGTTTCTATATACTTACTGTATATAAATCTACATTAATTGGAAAATATAATCAAATTAGAGACAAATATAAATATGAACTTAAAATTATATTATAGCTGAAAATTATACTGAAGAAAAATCATGCCTACACACAATAAAATTTATCTATATATAACTAAGCTAGAAATTCGAAACTCTACAAATCTGTAGTTAGAATTTCATATATAATCGCGTTTTTATTGATTCCAAACGATCACGTATTATCATAATGACTCCAAACACAACAAGCGATAATATACTTTACGATTTGAGATTGTAAAGGAAAAGTGCTTTTCGTTGCAAAGTGACGTCGAAGAAACTAGACCGTTAGAGAAAGTTCGCAAATCCGTAAGCGCTGTATAAATTACTATAAATTCTCTTGCCATGGCGTCTCCGCGACTTGATTCGCGGACAAACGACGGATCGCGCGCGGTCCAAGTCCGAGTGACTTCGAAACGGATCAAGCGAGTGGGCAGACATGCTCTTCGAAATCCCGACGGCCTGCTTGCGTTTCATCGAGACGTTCCAGCGAGTGGTCGGCATCGCGAGACGGCAAAAGCGCGGAAGAAGTGTGTGTGAACAAGGCATGGCAGAGAAGGGGGAGGACACAGGGATAGAAGAGAGTGGGCAGATAGGAGGTCACATGGGGAAAGAGGTGAGAGTGCCGCGCGCAGGCCGCAGGGGAGGCTTTGCGCCAGTAAGCCCTGGTGGATTTATAGAACCACACATAGCGTGGTACGGTGTTCCCGCCACGGTGCTATACGCCATGTACCAAAACGCTGCAGATCCCCGGCCGTCGCTCGTTCGCAAACTGTAACACCATTATGGAGGCATACTTCATTTTAAATCTGCCTTGGCGCGCGCGCTTACTTCAAGTGCAAAAGACATTCCTTCCACATGACCCTCATTAGCTCCAAGTTTAATTCATACTGTTTGTCGTAATGGAAAATAATAGAACTGTACTTCAGAAGAAGTCCGCGCGTATTCAAGTTTTATTATGAAAACTTTTGTTCGGTAAAGGAGAGGCTATCATAAAGTCCTAGCGAATTATTTACGAATAAAAGATATCTTAAAGTTTTGAATTCAAGTAGTATAGTACAAATTTGGTTTCCAGTATAATGTGACTACTGCACGCTATCTTTAGGACTCATTTTCTCAGCGTAACGTCGCTAGAAATTCCTGGTACCGGATAAAAGATTCGCGAAAACGTCATATTGAAGAGAAGAACGAAGAGAAAGGCACTGAAGAGTCGACGAGAGGAACAGGACGAGAGGCAGAATGGAGAGAGAGAGTGTGTGTGTGTGTGTGTGTGTGTGTGTGTGTGTGTGAGAGAGAGAAAGAGAAACAGCGAGAAAGAGAGGTCGAGCGCGAAGCCGGGTACAGTTATCTGCAAAGAGGCAGGCGTATGTTTCGGTCGGTGGCAGCAGAGCGCGGCTGTCCGAGATAATCCGCCGGTGATTAAGACCATAAATCCATCGGCGGATTAGTATGGTTGCACCGCACACCTCGCGGCGGCGCTCTGGCTGGTGCACGAGAGTTGCTCTGTGCTCCAGCCTCCAGTGGCAGTGCGCTGCTCTATCTTTCTTTCTCTATTCTCTATAGGGCCTCTCCTTCTCGCTCGCTCTCTTTCTCTTCTCTATCCAATTCCCGCTCCCTCTCTCTCTTCCTCTGCCGCGCAATCATCTACCCTCCTGGACCCCTGATTGCGGCGCAACCGACACACATCCAGTGTCTGTATATCTCAGCCTGATTCGAAGGGCGAAGGGGTTGCGCGAACGAGAGGGATCGAGAGAGAGAGAGGCGAGGAAGGGAGAGAGGGAGGGAGAGAGAGAGAGAGAGAGAGAGAATGAGAGCGGGAGAGAGGAGCCGAGCTTACACACCATGGGAATGGGAAATGGGACGCCGCGGAATATAGGTGGACACTAACCGGTATGAGAGTGAGGATTACCGAGTGTCATCCGTATTCGGCCGGGTTAGCGGCTGTCAGCGGCCAATGCTATCGCTATATATCAATTATTACCTTTAGCCTCGCCGCACAACGCTCGGCTGCATTCCGGTACACACACTCCGCTACACCGCGATGCATCGCCCGCCCACCCGCCGTATCTCATTCGCATCACGCGGTCCGATTTGCATCGCGACGCATCGTATGCAAACGCGTATGCGACGCACGACCGCGCCTCTCGCATCTCTGGTTCGACCCGCGCTTCCACGGTTACGCGGGTTTAACGTTGAATCCGTGGCAGCTGCTGGCTGCCTGGCCTGGTCGTTCTGATGGCATCGCCAGCTCGTAAGTTCTAGTGAACGCGAAAAGTACTGCGTATAGCGGTTGTCTTGGGCTTTCGGAGCGAAGTAACGATTAACGGAGAAAAATAGATAGTGGTACTGCGTTCGTACAGTGTTCGTATTATTGCGGCAATAGCGTTGGGAAAATAAATAAATGTAAAAAAAAAGAAGTGTAAAGGTGACCCTGCACGATCAATAATACCGATCAGTAATATTGAATCGGTAATACTGACAGTACGCGCATTAATATTTTTAGTATTTTTACAAACTTATACGATCAGTATTATTGATAATATATTTCACTTTAGTTTTACATACATTATCTATTGCACTGTGACATATTGTGACAGGGATCCTAATAAATACGATACTGATGCTCGAGAATCAAAATCCAGATCACCATCATATTCTACAGTAATCCATCAATATTTAACCATATACGATCAGTAATATTATCAGTATTTGTTAATACTGACAGTATTATTGATCGTGTAGTGTCACCTTAATAGCAGTTCCGCTCGTATAACGAATTACGCTATTAATATAATAGCATTAGAATTCGTAACGAATAGAAAATGATGACATTCTTGTAATGAGCGATTTTAATAGCTTTTTTTCATGTAACAAGCGAAATAACTTAAATATAGATTAACAGATAAACTAAATCAAACACATTTAATAAAGCTGAAGAGTTCGTGATTCAAAATCTCTTATCTCGTATATAAAAAATTCAAAGTGAAAAGGTAAAATAAATCTAAATTTGTAAGATATGCAGTTATTTAATAAGAGCTCACTTTAAATATAACTGCACGTTTAAAGAAGAGAAAAAAAGTATATGCTTTGAAAGCGTCAACTACCTAAGTATTTAGTGTTTATTTAAGTGTACACATATGTTTAACATAATATACGATAAATTGACAGTTAGATTCAATTTAACGTTAAACATCGTAAGTTTTTATCCACAAAAGGCTCCCTTCGGTCCCAAGTTCGGCTTTAGCGCGGGTCGAAGCAGAGATACGATCGGCTTTACGGTAATGTCCGAGAGTGGCCGTTTTCAAGTTAATATCACGTTGAACGAGATGAAAAATGGCAAAGGGCGAGCCGCGCGTATTCCACAGGCGAATCAGGATTCGAATCGGCGGCAGTTAATCTTCTATCGGGTATTGTATTTTTGATACAGAGCGTTGCAATGCATTCCGCAATTCTGTCGCAGACGCAGAAGCTTTTCAAATTTTTCAAAAATTCAGTACTTTGAATTGAATGTAGCCAAACGTATTATATCAGGTGTGAGTTATATTAATCATAAACAAATCTCTAGAAATAGTTTTAAATATATTTTAGCAACGATCTCTCTCAGATATATATATATTGTTACGTTAATAGAGGAGATGATGGTATTATGGCTCTTATAGGTATAATGGCTCCTCTTAATATTTCCGTTATTTGATAGCAAATAATTCTAATGATTATTCATGAAATTATTTATTCAGTAGCTCGCTGCCGTACCGTTACACCATGGCGCTTATATGCCAATATACAGTAGTTAGCATTTATTATAATGCATTTTTATTTTCAAGCATTTCGAAACGTTTCTCTCTCTCTTTTTCTTTCAAAGTACGTTTTAGAATTTAATCATGAAAATTTTCTCATTCTTCTTACTTGAGCATATTATCGCTCAAATATATGCACACTTGAATGTTTTGTTCGTTACTTCACATTTTATTTGGCTATATACATTTCAAGTTATGTAAAATTAAACAATAGCGTGAAGGGTACTTTGCTAATATGATCCTATAGAGTGATTGATGACGGCTTCTTTTCCGAGGTTTTCTTTTAATAATAATTATTCGATAAATTGACTATAGCTGTATTTACTATCTTGTATATTTGCTATCTTGATTTTGTATGATATTGAACAGTCTATGTATACGCGGAAAAACTTATATGTGTATACATTTGCATATATTCCGCAATTTTTATTGTAAATATATAATTTCATAAAATACTATATAAGTATTTTAAAAACCAATTTTTTAAATCTATTTTTATAAGAAGCCACA